AAGCTTTCTCTCGTCTGACGAGCGACAATGGTGCCATATTACATGACAATATGTAACTTGGGGTAAAATAAAAGCTTTAAAAATTCTTGATTTAGCTTCAGTAGGCATTAAATTCCTAAACCTCATAAGTACTCCTAGTTTCCTTGCCCCCTTAGTACAGACATTATTGATATGTTTAGTAAAGTTCAAGTCATCATCAATTGCCACTCCCAAAAGATCAATCCTGGAACTTGATTTTATGTTAATGCCCTTTATATTCTCCTATATATTCTCTTTTTCTTGTGTCTTGGTCCTAGACTCAGCTTGAAATTTATCTTGGTTACACTTGAGTAGGTTTTGTTGATACGATTCAGAGGTACGGGTTCCCTCATCGTTCAGGATTGTTTCTACATCCTCAATCTTCTCTCCAGCAGAGTACACTTGATGGTCATCAGCATACATAGCAAGCCTACCCGCATGAATATTCTGGACAAGATCGTTCTGGAATATGTTCCAAAGCAGTGGTCCTAGGTTTAATCCTTGTGGACAGCCTCTGCTTGTCTCTCTCCATTCACTAAAATCTCCTGATCTCATCCGCACCCTGTTTTTTCTTTCTGTGAAGGAGCATCTCATCATGTCTATCGCACTTTCCGAGAAACCATAGGCCCACAATTTTGCTAAACAATAATGGTGGATGAAGTGAATCAAATTGCTTTCGAAAGGTCTGTTGAAAATATTCCGATCACGTGTTTGTTGTCCAGTGTCCGTTTCCAATCCTCTACCAGCTTATGAGGCTGTCCGCGTAAGAACCGACCACTCGAATTTCGGCCGATCACAGAATTCCCTCAAATTTTTACTTTGAGATATTTGATCCATTCTATCGGAAAAATTGTATTTATTTGGTTCGTAATGCTATTTTATCTAATTTTTGGCGACGAGATGCGAGGACGGTCAAAAACAAAGAAAAGTGTTGATTTCAGAATTAATTTTCAGCGTTTCGCTGGAGGCTGTAAAACCTTACGCATTTGTTCAAATAGCATAAATCGGACATTTGGTATCATTTTACATCTCTTCTGTTGATTAGTAGCAAAATATGTAAATTCTGACCAAACAAAGAATTGTGCTGTTTTGAAAATACCACACAAACAGCACTTTCCAAATTTGAGCTAGTGTGCTGTTGCTCCAAGACGCTTTTCTCAAAAGTATAACGGGATCTGGAGTCCTCACCACTGTCCGTGTTTAGTACTAGGGCTGGTGTGCCGAAAACAA